CCTGTGTCAGGAGCCCTGTAGCCCATCGGTGTCCTGGAAACAGAGGGTGGCGGGTCTAACCTGCTCCTGTGTCAGGAGCCCTGTAGCCCATCGGTATCCTGGAAACAGAGCGGCAGGTCTAACCTGCTTCAGGTTGTCTGCTCTGTCCCGTTAGACTGTTGAGGGTTTTCTGCGCTTAGCGTGCTTCGAACACTCACTCAGACTGAACCAAGAGCACAGGGCTTGATTTGCGCTGACACTTTGGAGGTTCCTGTATTCAGAATTCAGATAGTTTGTCATCAAAACAGCAACAGAAACGGTGCGGCTCTTGGTGTATGCCTTTCCCGGGTCACTCGTCCAGCCCGTCCTTAGGAGTACCTTTCCCTTAGTAAACTTTCTCTATATCTGTTACTTGACAAAGAAAAGTTGGCGTGTGTGGCACACGCCCTTAATCCCAGCACTCAGGAGGTGTAGGCAAGCAAATCTCTCTGAATTTGATGTCTACCTGGTCAACAAAGTGAGTTTCAGGCCAGTCTGAGGTCCACAGCGAGACCTGTCTAAAAACAGAGAAAAGAAAAACTGAGTTGCTTCGGTCCATCTAAAACATTAAACGGTGCTGTCTTTCTTTAAACTTCTACCTGTGCGTGGTTAATATTTATTGGTTGATTATTGATTAGCTCATTGTTTCTCAACCTTCCTAGTGCTGTGACCCTTTAATACAGTTCCTCATTGTTGTGGTGACCCCTAATCATACAATTTTTCATTGCTATTTCATAACTATAATTGTGCTACTGTTATGAGTTGTAATGTAAATATCTGATATGCAGGATATATGTAATCCCTGTGAAATGGTCATTCAACCTCCAAAGGGGTCATGACCCACAAGTTGAGAACCACTGAATTAGCTAGATATGAAATTTCCTCCTAATATGTCATGGTGATGAGTATGATATACATTTTTATTTTAACTGTCAAGTTTCATATAATTTTAAACAAAGAATACAGAATTAAATGTTGTGCCTGTGCTAAATATTGAAAAGTTGTGTTACAAATTGGTTGGTGGCTTTTTGACAAAGAAGTATGAGTTCACTGTAATGGCTCGCTCCCCTGCAGCAAGCAGGCTAGAACTCAGAAATTTAACCTGTGTTCCAAAGACACAGGTTAGTGGTGCTTTTGGAACTCACCTTCAGAACTGTCTTCAGGCCCATGTTAAAGTGTGTGACCCATACTTTGCAGGATACAAAGCGGTGCCTTGGCAAACAGAACTAAGTAATTGAATTTGGTTCTGGATAGATTTCTGATCATTTATAAATCAGCTACACACAGAATAATGGTGGAGCAGAAGCAGCTATACTGTGGGGTCTGAAGGCAGTTGCTGAAGTCTCAGAAATGCCCACGAGGACCTGTCCGTTAGAGTAGGCAGGAAACTCTCAGGGTGGCAGCTCTGGTGTTAGCATCATTCTGTGTAGAACTTGTAATTTGTGTTCTTGAAAAGACCCGTCTTATTACCATATTTTAATTTTTAAGTAGTTATGGGTGGTATGAAGTAATTGTGCTGTTGGCAGAAATTATGGAAAAGGGTCATTTAGATTATTAAGCCCAAATTATCAATCTGTAGGTTTAAGCACTGATACAGTTTATAGACATACGGATTCGTCTCCACCTTCCCAGAAGTCTTGTGAGTACTTCTCCCATCCGTTATATATATGAGAAACGGACAGAGGGCTTGAGTAGCTTGCCCTCAACACACAGCTAGCAACGGCAGGGTCGGAACCAGCAGCGCTGCCCCGGCCCCTGCTCTAACCTCTTACACTAACTTCTTGCTGACAGCGCTGCATGTGTTAGGTAGACTTTGGGAAGGTTCAATGAAGTGATGGGCATTTTGTATGAATCAGTGACTATAAGCCTACATCTAGGGACTTTCCCTAGACACTCTAAATGTTGACAGAAGGGAAAGGTGACGGTAGGATTAAAGACAGAGGCTGGAGTTAGGGAGATGGCTTCTCGGGCAAGGTACTTGCCGGACAAATATGAGGACTTGAGTTGGCCCAGCCCCCACCTGAAGAGGTAGGCACAGTGGTGTTACCTGTAACCCCAAGTGCTGGGAGTAGAGATGCAGAGACAGAAAGATCCCCAGGCTTGCCGGGCAGCCAGCCTGGCCAGGTCAGTGAGAGACCCTGACTCAAAAAACAGAGAACAGTGAGGAAGACAGCAGACTGATATCAACTCTGGGCCTCCACGTGATGCGCATGCACACACACATATGCACAAGACAGCCGTTCCCTGAACATGTGGGTTATTGTCAGCACAAAGGGAGAGAGCTTCTAAATATCTGAAGTATTTCTGCTCTCTAGAGGCATTGGATCTCATGCTTCAGCCCTCCTGTATTTTGGGGAGCTATTAGGACTCAAAGTCTGAATCCGTTTTTTTACACTTCAAAGCATCTTTTCACTTTTTCTAGAACAATGGGAAAATATATTGGACTTTCAAACAGACTTATTTAAAAAGCAGCAGAAAGCAACAGAGATGAAAAACGTCAGTGCTATGATTCGTAGAACCAACATTAAACATGGGCATTATGTGAATTGCTTTCTCTTAGGAAGACGCTGTTGCTGGCTCGGCAGCTTAAAGACAGAGCCGTGGAAGCTCAGTCTTGCTACAGCCTTGGGAACACATACACTCTGCTTCAGGACTACGAGAAGGCCATCGATTACCATCTGAAGCACTTAGCAATTGCTCAGGAGCTCAAAGATAGGTACGTCACACCGTTCCTAAGTTAACTGCAGGTGAATTACTGAATTCCGGCTTTTTGCCTATGCCTCCCAAGTGCTGGGATTCAAGGTCTGGCTACTGCATATTTTTAAAGACTGTTTCCATGTTTTAATATCTGACTTTGAGTTTGGTACTTAGTATTCCCATCTTTCTGTCTAGACTCCTCATTGCTATATCTGAAAGGTTAAGTAAATCCAAAGCATGCTTTAAAAACCTTTAATTATCGCTTGGTTGCATTTATTCTGTACAAGGGCCTCGTTCCAGATCACTGCATGTTAATTTTTAATTATATTTTAGAATTGGTGAAGGAAGAGCATGTTGGAGTTTAGGAAATGCATACACAGCTCTAGGAAATCATGATCAAGCAATGCATTTTGCCGAAAAGCACTTGGAAATTTCCAGAGAGGTATGAAGCTAAAGAAATCACTGCCCATCCCGTTGTCATTTACAAATCAGTGATGGAGTAGCGTGTTTTTCCAGAGCATTCATATAGCTGTGTGAGCACATAGAGGACTGTATTGCCCTGATCTGGGGGCGGGGGGGCAATAAGATGAGCTGAGGCATGTGGGAATAGGGTGTGATCAAAATACTCCATCTTCTTACCCTCGTTCCCAGTAGAGAAATATCGTGGTTTTTAAAGAAAAAGTTGATACTGAGAACCAAGGTCTGGCTCTTGTTACACCCAATGGCTATTTGAGCTTAGATATCTTTTCTGAGCTTCATTTCCCTCGTATGTGAAATTGGAATGGTAATAGATACCTTGGGAATTGTTCATGTGCGCATGCACACACACACACACACACACACACACACAGGCACACATACACACACACAGGCATACACACACACAGGCACACATACACACACAGGCACACATACACACACACAGGCACACATACACACACACAGGCATACACACACAGGCACACACACACACACAGGCACAGGCACACACACAGGCACACATACACACACAGGCACACATACACACACACACACAGGCATACACACACACAGGCACA